AAAATAATCAGGCAGAAAAACATAGGGAACAGATGGGGGAAGAAATGGTGTACGAACAGAAAGAAACATGAAGGTTCGAGAGGGACTGTGTGAGCATTCATGTACGCACACTGTTAGGAAACAGGGAACAGTCAGAGGAAGTCAAGGCAGCACTGGGGGGAAACGGAGAAAAAGGAAGATGAGGGTAAGTTCAAGGGAGAAAAACTAGCACTACAACGTCAAAATAACAAAAATCCTATGGGCATGTGATCCTTCATGGTTTGTAATGTACATATAAATGAATAAACGTTGTTACAGTGTATGGTCTTACATCCTAAACAACTGAATATATATGTACTTCCTCCCCATACACACACACAGAAAGTAAAATAATTCTAACATCAGAATGCACGTTATCACTGGAGTGGAAGTTCCAAGAGAACAGGACACACACCTGTACTGCTTACCACTACATCCTCAAAGTCTGACTGGGACATGATGAATGTGCCCTGAATATATGCAGAAGGAAATAAAGAAAAGGGAACAGAAGTAAAAGAATATAAGAAGAAAATTCCAGGGTCCTTGTCTTCAAAAAATCAAACATCCATACTTAGGGGACACTCAGTTTCTCTGACACAAAATAACCAATGTCAGACACCAGATATATTCTCCAACTGGTCCAAAGGTTGACTTCCTGCCTCCACATGAGAACAGGCATCTATTTTAACATTAACACTAAATCAAAAATATGTTAATATTAATGATTAAATTTTGTATTACTGCTAAAATGGATATGTCCATGATAAAAAAAAAACACAATTATATGGCAAGTAAGTTTCAACACATTATTCTCATCACTAAAGGAATCAATAAAAATTATCTTTAAAAAATAATATCCCCAAAATGTCAACTCCAATTTACAACTATTAAATGTTTAAACAAAATGCCTAGAACACATCTATTACACAAAGCAAAGTAATACAACAATTAAATACAAATAAGCAATCCTATACTTGTAGGACAGCAAATCTGAGATACATTTTGACTCAAAGACCTCCCAAGGGAAGGACTGAGAGGATTCTACCCAAAAAAATTACAAAGGGACTTAGACTGAGTATTAGAATTGGATACAAAAAGTGATGGGGGACAGCTGGAAGAACAATAAACAGGCAGTAAAAAGTCAAAGGGCTAGGAGACTTCAGCCAGCAAATAGAAAACGGCAGACCAAACTAGAGAAAAGCTGATTAAAATGAGACCAGAAACTCAACAACACAGAAAACAACCCAATTTTAAAATGGCAAATAACCTGAATAGCCGTTTCTCCAAAGAAGATATACAAATGAACAAAAAGTACATGAAATGATACTCAACATCACTAGTTATTAGGGAAATGTAAATCAAAACCATGAAGTAACACTTCACTTTCATTAGGATGGCTATTATCAAAAGACAGAAAACAAGCGTTGGCAAGAATGTAGAGAAACTTGAATCCTTGTGTATTGCTGGTGGGAATGTAAAATAGCACAATGCTATGAAAGACAGTAGAGAGGTTCCTCAAAAACTTAAACATAAAATTACCATATGACCCAGCACTCTAGTTCTGAGTATATAGCCACAGAGTTGAGAGCAGACTCTCACAGAGAATAAATGCACATTCATGTTCAAAGAAGCAAGAGTCTCAGCAACCAAAGGGTGGAAACAACTCAAGTGTCCAACACGGATGAATGTTTAAACAAAATGTGGCATTTATACGATGGAATATTATTCAGCCTTAAAAAAGAATTTGGATACATGCTACAACAATGGATGAACCTTGAAAACATTATATTAAGTGAAAGGAGCTGGACACAAAAGGACAAATATTGTATGATTTCACTTATGTGAGATGCTTAGAATAGTCCAATTCATAGAAACAGAGAGAATTATGGTTATGAGGTGTTAGGGGGAGGAGATAATGAAGAGTTACTTTTTAATGTGTATAAAGTTTTAGTTTCGGATGATAAAAACTTTTGTAATAGACAGTGTGATGTGAATGTACTTTCATGCCACTGAATTGTATACTGAAAAATGGTTAAAATGATACTATTTTTATGACTACTTTACCACAATTTTAAAAATTTGAGAAAAGACAAGGAAAATAGATCCTGAAATTAATCATTACTGATCTTAAAATACATATAATTTGAAAAAAGGGAACAGATTGTAGAAGACATAGTGGGTTGAAGAGTGGTCCCCAAAAGATACATCTATATCCTAATATTCAGAACTTCTAAACAGGATCTCATTTGGAAAAAAAAATCCTTGCAGTTGGAGATCATTCCCAATTGCTGGAGTGGGCCCTAAATCCAATGGCATATGCCCTTTAAAGAAAAAGGCGGAGGAAAATCTGAGGCAGACAGAAGAGGAAAACGCAGACACTCACAAAGGAGAGAGTAACATAAAAGGTGCAGGCAGGGACTTAAGAGATGTAGCTGCAACCCAAGGAATGCCAAGGACTGCCGGCCGCCGCCACCCCAAAGCTGAAGAGTCAGAAAACGGAGTCTCCTTTAGAGCTTCTGGAAGGAGTGCAGCCCTGTCAACACCTTCCTTTCAAACTGCTGGTCTCCAGAATTGTAAGAGAATAAAGTTCTATAGTTTTAAGCCACCAAATTTGTGGCAGTATGTTAGGACAGCCCTAAGAAATTACCATGGGGGTAAGAAAAATAAAATGAAAACTAAGAAAGTAGACCTGTTGAGCACAGAAGGTGTCATTCAAGCCAAAATTGAACTATGTAAAAAGCGAGAGGAAAAGGGAATCCTGAGTTTTGTCACTGAGTTGTAACTTCTGGCCGTACAATGTCAGAGGGCAAAGTCCCATGCACACACACGGTGATGGGCCAGGTGCCGACCCAGGCACACACAGCAGGAACTGGCGGATGGAAGATGTGCAGGCGTGCCAGGGGCGGGGGCTACTTAACTGGCACCTCTAACCAAGCCCAGCCGTCCAGAATTTCTCAACTTGGTTCCATTATTAATTGGGCAGGAAGGAAGGAGGTCATGGATTCTTGTTTTGTTTTTTTAATTTAAAAATGACTCACTCAGTTTTCAATTCTTAATAAACATTTTTGAAATTTTTTAAAAAAAGAAATCATGTTGGATTAGGAGCATACTTGGTTGTGACACAGTGACATGTAATTTGCAATGAGAGAAGCTACTCTGTGCTTTATTTTTTAAATCCTTGGCTATCTGCTAGAAAGACTACCTCATGGTCAAACTGAATATGTGGAACTATTTGGTTGGAAAAAATAAGATTTATACTGGAGGAAGCAGAACAATAATACTCTTAAGTCCTGGGTTAAATCCCAGCTCTGACACTTAGCTAGGCTGTCTTGGATACTTTGGTTAACCTCACTAATTTAAACTCAAATATATCTAGCTAAGGATCACCCCAAAAACTTTCTAGCTGAAAGTACCAAAGATATCTAATAATCAGAAAAGAAATGAGAATTTTATTGATCATTTTATGTTGACCTTGTTATAGTTTATGTCAATATTTTCAAAGAATTCGTGCTATTTTTCTGTTTCACTTGAGCAAGAGGCATTTATAAGCACAAGGAAGATAACACATATCATATACAATTATATTCCTCAAAGAGTTCTTGAGTGGCAGGCAGATTTTTAAATATTTCAGTATAGTACACTATTATCTACACTACTGAAATTCAGTTTATAATAGCACTATGGTATCAGATAGAATTTTAATTTATTCTTCTTTTTCAAATACTCTAAAATACTGCATTCTTTTTCCTCCCATCTGTTTACTTCACACATTTCTCCATCTACCCTGAAACCATCTTCTTTTCTTTACACACACACACACACACACACACACACACACACACACATATTCTCTCTCCCCCTCCCCCACCTTCTTTCTGCCTTCATGCCTATATCCTTTCTTCTTGAGTTGAATACAGCCACTAGAGGGCAACAAGTTTACAAAGATAAATGTATTTATTTATAATGAATTGAGATTCACATACTAATAAATTTAAAAACTGTATCATCACAAACCCTAAAGCAGTGGCAATTAGACTTGAATATGCAATCTATACATTTCAGACTCAAAAATTTATCATGGAAAAGGAGTTCATAAAACCATAAAATAATATTCAAAAAAGGAATTCCATTTTCTCACTGAACACTAAAAATAAACACTTAATTCACTTATAGATACATAGCAATATTAGAAATTGGGATTCTTTTTTAATATTAGCTGAACTAGAGAAACAAAAACAAAAAGGTATAATATGCAGGGTATGTAGCAGAGAATGGATTTCTTCCAAGCCTCCACTGTTACATTCAGAATACGAGGAACTGAATAATGCAGTGGATTTACCAGCCCTTTCTTCTATTTAAATCATAGGGAACCCTATATGCAAAACAGAAAAGGAGACACAGATGTACAGAACAGACTTTTAGACTCTGTGGGAGAAGGCGAGGGTGGGATGTTCTGAGAGAACAGAATTGAAACAAGTATACTATCAAGGGTGAAACAGACCACCAGTCCAGGTTGGATTCATGAGACAAGTGCTCGGGGCTGGTGCACTGGGAAGACCCAGAGGGATGGGATGGAGAGGGAGGCGGGAGCGGGGCTCAGGATGGGGAACACATGTAAATCCAAGGCTGATTCATGTCAATGTATGGCAAAAACCACTACAATATTGTAAAGTAATTAGCCTCCAACTAATAACAATAAATGGGAAAAATAAATAAATAAATAAATCACAGGGAAATGTGGCAGGTATACTTTGGGGGAAAGAACAGCCCCTGCAGAGAGAAATATAGGCTTCACTTCTTTCCCTCCCGATTAAGGATGTGATGGTGGAAAGAACTGAACAGTCACTAAGCCCTGACAGATAATTTTACTAATTTTTTGCACAGAATCCAAATTCAAATGATCTTTTTACTCTGTGTTTATTTACACTCACACTACAAAACTGCAGCGCTTTTAACATTGACATTTTCCATCATTTTCTTACCCGCATCGGATGTATATCAGCATAAGGAGGTTTTCCTTCAGCCATTTCTATAGAAGTAATGCCGAGGGACCAGATGTCAGCCACACAGTTATAGCCTATTTCTTGAATGACCTCAGGAGCCATCCAAAACGGAGTTCCTATCACAGTGTTGCGTTTTGCCATTGTATCCTGCAAGAACATTACACAGATGTAACTACAAAAACACTAAGGAAATGTATTTGCCAGTGTATTACTTAAACTACATATTTGAAACCCTCAAATACTACAGGTTATATCTGAAATTGACTATTTTCCTAAAATTTCAATCAGTTGTGACATGACATATTTAGGAATTTAGAATTCTGAAATAACCAAGAGTCCATAAGTAACTTAACTCCACTACCTTCATTAAAGATAGCGCTATAACAATAAAACCTACAGAAATGGAAAAATGCAGCTTTCCTTTCCAAATATTTAAGCATTTTGATGGCAATATATGTTTTTTCATATTCATCCAATGTCTCTTAAATGGTAAATAAAAATAATTAAATAATACCTAAATAATGACTTCTTCTTCCTGACAGTAATGAATTTATGCATTTCTTTTCATAATCCTCAAAAGATATTATCAGTGTTTAATCACACTCGAACCCGGACAATACAAACCAACAGAGCTTCCAAAAGTATTACACTTACCGTTAACTGACCAGCAACTCCAAAATCTGCCAATTTTGCATGTCCTTCTGTATTGAGGAGAATATTGCCAGCTTTTATATCTCTGTGTATTTTTCTCATAAAGTGTAAGTATTCTAGTCCTTTCAAAGTAGATTTGAGAATGGTTGCAATCTCATCTTCTGTTAACTGGAAAGAAATATTTAAAAAACTCAACTGAAATGCAGATAGAACTAAACTCTTACAAGAGAGCATTGTTAACAAGCACTTCTTTCTGAAGATCATTAAACTTTTAGGAAAAGGCTAAAAGGTAAAGTACCGAGAACCTCTTCTTCTGATGAAAGAAAATGTCATCATTCAATTTCTCCTTTCTTTAAAATTATCCATGTCATTTCTAAAGCACGTTAACATATCCCAAGAATCACCATGACCCTAAGAAATCACTCTTCCCTACGCCATCTAACACTGAGGTGGCAATATGACAGCTATCTATCCTGAAAAAGTAAATCCAGAGACACCCCTCCCTGTGGCCCCTCCAACTACTGACGAAAGTAAAAACCAACAGTGTCACACAAAGGAGAGGAAATGAGGAAGTGTGGACTGCCAAGAGCCTCCTGCGTGAAGCATTTACGCCAATACCACTCCTCCTCCTTCCAGTGAGGTCATTCTTAATCTACCCGGGTCCTAGATTTCTAACTCTAATAATGAGAACTCAGAAATGAACGTGTCAGAGAAAGACTAAGAAAACGGAAACACAAAAACAGGCCATTGGGGAAGGAAAAACGAGGAGGGAGGTGCGAACATAAAGACTTTTAGTACTGACAGCACCAGAGCCAGTGCTATCTGTACTAGGAATTGTGCTAACAGTTTCGCGTGCATTGTCTCATTTATCTTTGTAATAACCCTATACAGCAGATTATCACCATTTGACAGAAGTAAAATATGGGTACTCAAACAAACATGTACGTGAGTGCTCACAGTAGTACTATTCACAATGGCCAAAAGGCTAAAACAACCCAAATGTCTATCACAGAGGAATGGATAGACAAATTATGGTATATGCAAACAATGGAATATTATTTGGTCATGAAAAGGAATAAAGTGTGGACATGTGCTGCAATGTGGATGGACCCCAAAAACATTGTGCTAAGTGAAAGAAGTCGGACACAACAAAAAGCACATATCGTATGATTCCACTTACATGAAATACTAAGAATAGGTAAATCCACAGAAAAAGAAAGCAGACTGGTGACTGCCAGGGACAAGAGGGGTAGTAATTACAGAACATTGTAAATGCACTAATGACAAGGAATTTTTCACATTAAAACAGTAAATCTTATATGAATTTTACCTCAATTTAAAAAAAACCTTTATTGTGTCAAAATTTCTAAGCAAATTGCCAGGTGGTTTACATTTGCATAAAATACCATTATATACTGTCATAAAATTACTGCACAGACCATGTAAAGCTTTGCAGGCCATGGATAAGGAGTCTGGATTATTTGAAAATTCTAATACTTTCAGGAACTGATTCTCTACCTCAGACCAGATGGACTGACTTCATAGTCCACAGAGAGCAAGCACTATATTCTGAAGCTGCACTATTCAACACAGTAGCTCCCCAGCATTTGAAACATAGCTAACTCAACTGAGATGCTATACATATAAAATATACCAAAGTTCAAGGCCTAGTACCAAAAGGAAATGTGAGGTATCTCATCAATAACTTACATACTGCTTACACAGTTAAATGACATTTATATACTAATTATATTATATTTAAAATGTGTTAATGTTATTAATATAATATAAAATTAGTATCAGTGAAAAAAAAGTTTGTCACTTAGTCAGGTCCAACTCTTTGTGACTCCATGGACTGTAACATGCCAGGCTCCTCTGTCCATGGAATTCTCCAGACAAGAATACAGGAGTGGGCAGCCAATCCCTTCTGCAGGGTATCTTCCCAACCCGGGGACTGAACCTTCATCTCCTGTATTGCAGGCTGATTCTTTTCTGTCTGAGCCACCAGGGTGGCCCCGCCTATATTTAATACATTAAAATTAATCTCACCTGCTCCTTTTTCTTTTTGAATGTGCGTGCTAGAAAGTTCAGAATTACACATGTAGCCCATGCTATGTTTCTACTGAACAGTACTGCACTAAGAGTCCAGAAGAGCAGAGACCTTTGTCTGGGTCGCTGATGTGTCAGCATCAGTGCATACACTGGTGGAACCACACCTGGCATACAGTTAGCAATCCATCAAGAATGAATGAATGGGTACGGACTTGTAGTTCTAAAGGAGAAGAGAAATTCACATCTGCTGGTCCCAGTCCTTTTAAATTAGTGGTCTGCAGCCCTGATGTGTGAGTAAGAGGCAGGGGTGCGTAGAGGGCCACCACACCACTGCAGAGGTATGCAAAGTGGTGGCCTGGGTTCTCTCCCCTCCCCGGATTCCACATCCCTACTATAAAGATTACAGAGCTCAGGGTGTTACAAAAGCAGTACCAGTCCAAAAAATGGTGTCATGTTTAGTCACTTCAATGCTGACCTTTTCAGTTACCTAGACTTCGATCTTTATCCTCCTAGCATTCCACTATTTCCAACCAATAATTCAACTAATCCTTCATTAACTTCTTGGTTTGTTGTCTCTGCTCCTATACTCTGTATTTCAGAGCCACACTAGAGAAAGTTCAAAATTAAATGGACCTACTTTACTTAGGCCTCAGGATGAATCTGATTTCAGTGCGTTTGCCACTGGACAAATCCACAGAAAGACGAAAAGAAGACTTGCCAGAGACAGTAAGCTGATTCATGAACTGTCTGGTTTTGCCAAAAGACTTTCAAGGTTCATTCCAACTCTATGATTCTATAACATTACATTATAAGATCTTCATTGTCTTAACAGAAGACTAATTTGGGCATCCATTTTTATTTTTCACTAATTTGGGCAACTGTTCTTTCAACAAGTATCTACTTCACTGGCTCTCTTGTATAAGTCCTGCTAAAGGGGCTGGGTATACAGTAGGTGAAGAAGCTGACAGTACTAGTTTTTATGACGTTTACAAGAATACCTAAGGCCACAGCCAGTATCTGGCCCTGAATTAATAAAGGTGAAGAGGACAGATCTGAAGCAAACGTGAAGTATCTGAAGTCTCTTTCCCATTATGCTTTTCTCTATTCCGTAATAAATCCCTCCCTCTACTTTAGGGGTTCATTTCATATCTTCCCTCTAAAAAAAAACAAAAAAGATGCAAGAGCCAATCATTCTAATAGTACATGGATATGTCTTAAATTAAAATTATTTGTGCACAGTATTATTCTAACAATCCCTTTGAATATTAAGGCTCAAATGTGGTATCTGCACTTTGAGACTTTTAACTTCAATTATAAAATGAAAGGTTTCTATCCCTCAATAAAATCATTTTAACAATTAACAAGTAAACATTTTCTAGAACACAGAGACATAATGTTGACTTAAATTTTTTTTATTAATTTACAGTTGTAGAGTCTTTTATATGAGTTTCACACAAACATGAATGCATGAATTAGCCTCAATATAAGCACAGAGTAGCAAGGCTTGTTCCAAAGATGAGATTCAAAGTATGTATTCAACAAAGAGTAAAGGCAGCCAAATTTCAGCCTTAAGTACAAAAATTTCAGGTAAATCTTGACAAATTTAGAAGAATAAATGTTTATCTGGTCTCTTTTAAATATCAAGGGTAGCAAATACACTTTGGAAAAGAATAATATCTATTTCAACATTTAAACCACTCGACATATATTTTGGGTCATTAATGGAGAATAGGAAAGAAAGGAGACTAGGCCTTCCCAGATGTAGGCCTTGATCTAGATGTTTATTTCACATCCTTTGGACACATACTATTTAGAGGGAAGGGGTAAGGGAGTTCATTGACAGTCATTTTCCTAAACAGAGTTTTGTTTTTAAACAATCTTTAAACGTAAATTTCACTTACAAACAATATCAGCTACCAAAGGTGACTAGGTTTCTATTTGGCAACAGAGAAAAACCAAAAATTTTAAGTAATATATTTTTTATTTCTATAAATAAGACTTTTCATCAGTTCAGATAAATTTCAAAATCCTAAGCTTTATATTGAAAATATATAGAAAGAAAAGAAAAAAACAAAAGAGAGAAGATCTGCTTTTATACAGAAAGTAAAGTAGGATTTAAGTTCTAAGATGGAAAACACTCAAACCACAACTAACACTTCTTTTAGTATATCTGTCAAGAATCCTTTCCAATGGAAAATTTTATTGAGAGTACTTCATTTGTGGATTTAATTAGGTTATCATCAATTCAGTACAGATTTAATTTTATTTCTGTCACTACACAAATGGAGCAATGTCATCTTAAAATCATTTGAATCATATTTAGACTCTAGTTTAAAAAAAAAAAGAAAAAGGAAGGCAGGAAAGAGATAATAAACCATGAATGAAACACTCGGTAATCAGAGCTGGAAATAAGACTTTATAGCTGAGCTAATACATTAAAAGACGGAAGTCTACATCTGGTTTCAATACTGGTATGAATTCACTGGCAAGTTTAAAAAGAATCCCATTGTACAAAAACAAAAAGATGGTTTTGATAGGCTCTAAGTCCCCTGGTTACTTTTGTTTCTAGAGTCCTATGATTAGTATAATAATATGATACATTTAATATGTCACCATGTATATGGTTTTGATAAAAATGCACCCACCAACGTGTCTCAAGGGCACATGCACAAGCTGTTTTAAAATACTCATAGTGCCTTAATGTTTTTACACTAGCAAAAACAAATTCAAGGGAGGTTTTGAAAATTCATATAAAATTAAGAATTTTATTTTTCTAAGAATGAAACTGACACTCTTAGCTAAATTCTTATAATTATCTGTGCATATAAAATAATATGTTGGGGCTTCTGGTTTAAGATGGCGGAGTAGAAAGACAGGCGCTCATCTCCTCCAGCGAGAACATCAAAATCACCACTAGCTGTTGAACAACCATAGACAGGAGGACACTGGAACCCACCAAGAAAAGAAACCCCATGTCCAAAGACAAGAAGCCAGTGAGACGGTAGGAGGGGTACAATCACAATGAAATCAAATCCCATACCTGCCAGGTGAGTGACCCACAAACTGGAGAACAATAATACCAAAGAAGTTCTCCCACTATTGTGAAGGTTCTGAAC